AACAATGTGAACAGACACATTTTCTAGCTCTGAGACAAAACATAATGATTCTTCTATTATTTTTAAAAAATCAGATTTTGCTTCATTTTACTGAGATAATATTGTTTTTCCTCTGTATTAAGGTAAATGATCGCATCAGTTGCTGTCAGTAAACGTCATGTTGAGTTCCTTTATCAGAGCACCTCAAATGAACATTTTGTTCATTTATGAGATTTAATCAGACGTGGAACTTTAATTTACTGGTTTCTGTTCACTTCTGGAAAGGGGAAAAAAATGAATGTAAATGAACAGTTTTAATCTGAGTGTGTTATTAAAATGTCATTGATTAAAAAAAGTTTTCAATACAATATAATACAGAATAATTTCTAAAATTTAAACCTGACACTTTCCTTCTGAGAGTTTTAGCCACATTGTTCAAGCAATTTAACGTTCATGAAATTAAACATTTTCACTCACTTTTTTTTAAATCTAATGAATTTTCAATGATGGGTACTATTTTTAGGCTCTAAATTAATCCTTATTTATGTTACATGTTTATTGCTTTCAGTACTATAAGAATAAAACAAGCCCCATCAATGATGACACCGCCACCGTGTTTTTCTGTAGGCCGTTGTTTCCTCACATATGAATAAATTGATGTGCAGCATTCCCATCATAATTTAATTATCCTATCATCAATTCATTAAATAAATAAGCCACGCAAGGAAAACTAGAAGATTTTTACAACCCAGGTTTAATCTTGCAAGAGGAACAGCCATTGAAACACAGAAATAGAAGATGTTATACGATGCCCATATCACAAGATCTGCCCCTGAACAGTATAAAGGAGCATCAACTTATATGTTTATCCAGAAAGGCTAGGTCAAGACAACTCTGCTTTCCAGCTTAGGGTCCTTGAATTGTATCAGATGTGCAGGCTCTGTCCTCCTTCAAGTTCCACTTTGTTCAGACAAAACAACTCTAACTTACACACATGCTTCTATATCATTTGACATTAGTAAGTAAAAAACATCCATGACCTTTACATCCCCCATCAGTTCCTTCTATCACTAAGGCATGATCTTAAACCAGGAATGTCCAATCCTGGTCCTGAAGGGCCACAGTCCCACGTGTTATACATTATATTTTCATTGCCCCAACTCACCTGATTTGGATCAATGGGTAATTAACAGGCTTCTGCAGAACTTGAAGTAATTTCACCAAAGAATCAGATGGAGCAGGTAAACCAGTAAAACATGCAGAGAGTAGCCCTCGAGGACCAGGATTGGACACCCCTGTCTTATGCCCCTTTTTCACTGTTACGGCACAGATCAGGTAAGCTCGGATCAGTTCAGATCAGCTCATGTGTCGTTGCATTTCCATTTACACTTCTGGACCGGTTCTGTGTGTGTGTGTGTGTGTGTGTGGGTGGGGGGGGGGGCTCCAGAATCCAACTTGTCTTACCACCTGGTGGCGGTATTGCTCCCTTAAGCTACTTACTAGCCACCACCGAATGTTAGAAGAAGAACATCCTGAAAGACTTTGAAAAGGCTTTTTGACAGATTGTGACAGTCCTTCGTTACCTTTACGTATAAAACTTAGTGGGGAAAAGTATTCTCCTATTGCTCCATCTTAGAGTGGACAACAGCTTTAAGCTTTTCATCTTCCTGCGTAAAATGTTCTAATTGTTTTTAGATAATTTACATAGAAATGTTTGAGTGCATGATGATGATTAAAAGGCATTTTAAAGTAGTTCAATGCCCCCACACACTCTCTTTCTCTCTCACACAAATATCTAACTCACACAAAAATCAATCAATCAATCAATCAATCAATTCAGTATCTAGAATGTTACGTGTTTGTAGTTTTGTATGCGTGTCATCATCTCTCTGAGCAGTGATATGAACATTTTTACAGATTAACTTGTTATACAGGAACAGGAAGTTTAAGGAAACAGGTTTTCAGAATTTTTTTTTTTTTTTTTTTGTCTTTTATTGAAACACAGCATGGCTGCAGGTTTATAGACTGTTAGATAATTTCATTATTCTATCATTAACTCATTAAAAAATAAGATATGCAAGGAAAACTTGAAGATCTTTACAACCCAGGTTTAATATCATTGCAAGAGGAGCAGAATTGAAAACTGGGATACAAGATGTTACACGACACCCTGGATCACAACGTCTGCCCCCAGACAGCATAAAGGAGCATCAACTTATACACTTATCAGAAAAGGCGAGGTCAAAACAACTCTGCTTTCCAGCTTAGGGTCATTGAAATTTATCAGGTGTGCAGGCTCCGTGCTCCTGCAGGCTCCACTTTGTTCAGACAAAACAACTCTAACTTACACACATGGTTCTATTAATTTGATATTAGTAAGTGAAAAACATCCATGACCTTTACATCCCCCGTCAGTGACCCTTTGCATCAGCAACACGTATCATAAGGAAGGTCTCACTCTGCAAATTACACCGCTCCGATCTTTGGTTCTCCTGTCAGTGGCAAACGATTTTCACACAGCAATTAGCACACTTATTTCACACACACACATGCAGATTCAGCCACACACAACAGCACAAAGCGCCAAAAAAACACGCACATACACAAAGCTCCGATGTTTCCTGTTTGAGGATCTGCATCATTATACCCACACACATCAACGGAGGAGAGGTGTGAATGGTTTGTTGTTTCCAAAACACATGAAAACAGACAAATAGCAGTGCACACAAGAGGCATTCAGCACGGGGGTGGGTGGGTGGGGGGGTCTTTTACCGTGAATCGAGAGTAAAGGGGCTGAATTGTGTGAAGAGTTTGGGGGTCCTTTTCACAGGTAAGGACCCCTGCAAGGCGGCCCATTGTACGCCTGTCCCGTAAATGGAGGACGCCGCACACAAAGGCGACAATTGCTATACGTGCTCAGCGCAACATAAAGGTGTCAGGCAAAGACAGGTTGTGCATAAAGACCACTATTCTCCTGCAGCAGCCGTGATGACAACTAATTATGGGGAAGGGAAGGACTAAATGGGAGGGGAAGGGGAGAAAAGACATTTTTGAAAGAAAAGCCCTTCATTAAAGGCACAGCTGGGACAGCAGGAACTGTGCCCTGTCTGTGTGTGTGTGTGTGTATGTATCTGTGTGTGTGTGTGTTTGTTTGGGTTGGAGGGAATTCACATTTATTTGTTTGTGTGTTTTTCTTATGTGTGAGCGCCATGTCTCAATGAGAGCTGAAATCTGGCTGTCGGTGTGAAAATGGAGCCCATCTCTGCTGACCTCTAACACCAAGACCCTGTCTGTTTGTCTGTGTGCGTGTGTGTGTGTTAGTTTGTGTGTATATCTCTGTCCCACCCCTTTATCCCAGTGTCCTTTTTCTCACTGCAGCCACCCGAAGGTCAGCGCCAACACTCCTTCTGCCTTCCTGTGGCACGACCTGTCACCTTCAGCATCAATAGGTGTGAATGTGTGACAGAAACATTTTGTACAATGCTGAACACACACACACACACACACACACCTTGTGGGCGAAGACTTCAGCATGTTGCCGAAGGCCTTGCTCCAGCTCCAGTGTCTGGGACATTTCTGTGAACTCCTCGGTGACAAGCTGGGACACTGGGTATACAGACACAGAACAAAGAAACAAATTTGGAATTAAACACAAAATGTATTGATTTAAAACTTTTATTGATCAGGTCATGGAGCAGTAGGCAGGACGTCAGCCTTGCACAGTTGCTAAGAGGCTCATGGGAGTTTGACTGTCTAGTCCACATGTTTTGTGACTGTGTTCTTCGAGGCAATCTGTGTGGGGTGTCAGGGCCACTTTTAGGCGCTATTAGGTCCTCATGTAACTAAAACGAGAACTGTGTCTGCATCCATGTATGTGGCGATCATGGATGGGAGGAGGCCGTCTGGTTTGTAAACCTCAGGGTTTCACCTCTGCTTTTGGCAGAGGATGTGGTTCTGTGGGCGTCTTCAGGCCATGTATTCCAGCATGCACTGGGTTGGTTTGCAGCTCAGTGTGAAAAAGCTGAGATAAGAGTCTGCTCTTCGTCAGAGGATGCTTCTTAATGAGATCCTGGATAAGCGCAGCTGAAATTGGCTTCCTTCTTTGAGTAGCTAGCCTGATAGACAAAGTGAAGAGCTCCATGGTCCAGGAGGGGGTTTGAGTAAAGAGGCTGCTCCTTTCCACCAAAAACAGTCAGCTGAGGTTGTTCAAGTATCTGATTAGGATGCAGGTTTTCTGGGCATGTCCCGTTGCAAGAAGACCAAGAACTTGCTGAAGAAATTATACATTCTATCTCACCTAGCAATGCCTTATGGTATTGATAGTGTTGCTGGGGTAAGGAATTATAGATGGATGGATGGATGGATAGATACTGTAACAATCCCTATCCTGGAAATGGCAGGAAACATGGCTCATGACAGCAGAAGGACCAGGATCATCCCCCGACACCTGCAGCTAATGACGAGGAGCTCGGCAGACTGCTGGAAGGAGTGGCCATCACTCTGGGAGGAGTTCAGCTCGGCATTCGGGTAGTCCTGCAGCCTGGGGGGACCGAGAGGTCAGCCGAGTCTGGGTGGACAGATCGGACAGCATCTGCAGCCAGTTTCTTAGGATCCACTGAGGGATGGATCTTTACAAGAGATCCTTCCTGCCTATAGCCATCAGCATCTATAACATCTCTTAATCAAACGAGGATTACCAGTTACAACAACATTTAATTTCCCTTTGGGATTAATAAAGTATTATTGAATTGAATTTGAATTGAATGGAATAGAATTATGAAGAACTTTTTATCTAATGTTTTAGTGTCTCTTGATGTAAATGCCTGAGCAATGAGAAAATGCAAAAGCACAGGTGCATTCATGTCACCTCACATGAGTTTTCCACCACAAAGATCTGACAGTGTTTTTGAAAGCTGCTGTGCAGCCGAGTCAGTCAACATAACAGCACTCGTTGGTCAGCTTCGATCCTAGTCTGGTGAGTTGTGAATGCAGTTTTATAAAATACTAAATTATTACTGGATGTACTGTATGGCCAGTATTATTATTTTTATTTTCTAACTGCTTCCTGAGCACACGAGTAGCTACTGTCCCTTCTGCTCCACTTGTGTGTAACTTACATGTGATGGGTTAAATGCAGAGGACACATTTCATCAATGTATGAGCATGTACAGTGATGACAAGATAAAATACTTTCACTTAAGAAAACAAAATCATCAACAAACAAGATTTACGTGTTTTTTTCCCCACAACCTATTGCAGCTTTCTAGCTGCAAACTCATAGTTTAGAAACAATTTTAAAACAAAGTCTGTCGTTGTTCTGTCAGTAAAAAGTGCACAGATATGGTTGTCTTGGTGTATCGTTTATGTAAAAAGTTTTGTCAATGACGATGGATGAAACTTGTAAGGGCTTCTTCATGGCGTTACAAACAAGCCAAAAAACAAACTCAAATATTTGTTTTTCATTTTTTTTCCTCCCTTCTTCCAGCTGTTATTGCATTCTTTCCAAGAACACCATGTTCCACCATTGTTAAAATACTTGCAAATTTCAGTTGTGTCATCGTTGACAGAACCGCTGCAAAGCTAATGACAAAAATACAAAACGATCCTGCATCAGCTACAAAGTCAGTGATATGAGTACAAAGTTACACAACATGGAGTGCACTGGTGCAGGCAAAACATGTCAGTAAAGCTGCATTTGTGTTGCAACACATTTGTCAATAATTATTATGATTTTATCATAATAAAATTGTACCTCTTTTCATTTTGTTCATGCTCTTGCTCTGTTTGCTCATTTTCCTCAGAATTGCTTCTTTCTCCTCAACCTCCACAGCGAGCTGCAAGAAAACGTCAGGGTTAAAACGTGATGTTGTGTTCCTTGGATTTCAGAGAATGTTAGATTAAATCATTTTCTCAAGAATTTCTACCCTTTATCATAACATTTTCCTCCATTCTTACTCTGAATTTATGGCTCAACTTGGAAATTTATTGAGTAAAGTTATGGGAACTGTACAAACAGAGTTTGGTTCAAAGGTGGATGAAGGCAGAAACAGTTTGTTGTGCTTTTCCTCATCCATGTAAGAAACCATTGCTCACCCGCACTTTTGTTCAGCTGCACCCTACTGTTGTAGAGATATACCTGCGTCCCTGAATGTCATTTTATAACACACTTTTATTTCTGGTAACTGAGTCGTTCATTCTGTAAAGATGTTTCTAAAAAAGGAAACTCCTCTCCCTTGAACAACTGAGACATCCCACCCCCGTTTCAGACCCTGGGACAGTTTAAACCTTGTTCTCAGCATCTCTAACTACATGTAGAAAACTGACAGACTTTTATTCACATTCTAGAAGAAGTAATAATGTTTTTCTGTAATGAAATAATTGTTTACCGTGAATAACTAAATAACTTGCTATGTGTGTTTCTCCTGCAGCTGACAAGAACCTGGGTTGCCCAAAAGTTAGCAAACTTGTTTTCTGTTTACAAGGTTAACAGTGTCTTTATTGGTTTTTAACCTCATTTAAAGTTGATAAATGTCTTAAATGTTTTTTAATTTGATGACTTTTTCAACAGAGGAGATTAAAATAATACTTTATTTAGTTGATAAAGTTTAGCCCTTCCATTCTGATTGGTTCAAATCGACCACCTCCTTCAAATCAGAGGTGCGGTCAATTGTTTACAAGAGAGGAAGACCTCTCGGATGAATTGAGAAGATGAATTTGGAAGTAAAAGAGAAGAAGTCGAATGAGAGAGAAGACAGGAGGAGAAGGAGTAAGCTTTTAAGACACAACCTACAAAACTTCTAAGAAGAAAATTAGTTTCAACTTTAGCAAAGTTTGATAGAACCCTCTTCAGCGCTCCAGACACCTGCAGTTATCATCAACAGAGTTAACAGCTGTCCAGAACTCCAGGAGACGCTCCGGTTGACCATGAGAGCCAGTGACCAAACTCATCGCCTTGATGTCAGGGATGTGAAGGAATTTCCACCTTTACATCAAAGATCATTTCAGCAGAAAGAGTCCAACATCTGGTATCTTCAGGCGGCCGCTCGAAGACGACTCCAGGTAGGAACAGCTGATCTATGCTCTGAAGGTTGACTGTGGTGTCCAAGATTTTAGATTTTAACCAAATTAGTATTAACTCAGTTCAGTAATTATTTTTCCTTAAATCTCAGACCAAATTTAGACTATTGAACGATAAAACGTCTTTCTTTCAGTTAAATTTGCATGATTAATCTGCCCTGCTGAAAATTCCAATTGTTCTACATTGCATCTTGTTTTGGTTTGGTTAAGCACATAGAATAATTTCATTTATCTGTTTATTCCTGCTAACAAGCAATTTTAAAGGTCACGTTAATTTCCATAAAACTCCGGTTGTGGACAAAGCCTTCATTTAAGTGTCAGAAATAATTTCCAACAGTTATTTTCTCATATATAGTCAAATAAACGTGACAAAATTGTATTAAAGCGTGTGTGTTTTACTTATGACATCTGAATCCTTCATATAAAAGAACTCACGGTGTAAAAAGGGTAATTCGAGGTAATTAAACGATAACATCTGAATTGATTTTCAGACCTTCAGATTTTCTCTCAGAGCTGAGAGTGGTGCCCCTTCAAAATAAAATTCATAACGAATTTTTAATCATTATTAACCCTTCCCGCTACACTGTTCCAGTCCTGAGTCTACAGTTTCTATTTCAGCCATGGGGTCAATAATGCACTGATTTAAAACCATTTATTCAAAGGACAAGAAGAAGAAACAAAACCAATGATTCTCCTGGAAGACTGGATGAAGTTTGGTGTCCTTACAACCCCTGAGTGATATTAAAATGATGATAGCAGCAAGTCTCTTTCCATAGTGTTTCCTCAAAACAAGTACGAGTAACTCTGAGCCTGACTTAAACTCATTTCACACCTTATAATCCCTAGCTGGGCCGTCTGGGGCTCAGTAGTTAGAGCAGGCGTCCTCCAATGCAAGAGTTGGGGGTTCGATTCCATCAGCAGTCACATGCCAAAGTGTCCCTGAGCAAGACACTGAACCCCTCATTGTCTCCAATGTGTGTCCCATCGGTGTATGAATGTGATAAAGCACTGATTATTCTTTGCATAGATCTAGTAGAGTGCTGTAAGAATGGATAAATGATGACACAGATTGTGTTGTAAAGCACTTTGAGTGTCTTGATAAGATGGAGATGTGCTATATAAGTACAGTCCATTTACCATAGCCTGAAAATAGCCTTCCACTGTATTAGGACAGTGTTTTGGTCCAGATAAGGACTACCGGTCCTGACGAGGAAGGTGATCACCAACAACAAGAATGAGTCAGCCTACAGAGAGAAGGTGCATAACCTGGTCGATTCGTGCTCGGAGAACAACCTCACTCTGAACACAGACAAAACAAGGAGGTATTCATCAGTGCCAGGAAACCCCAGGTTGAGGATGACACTTCAATCTTCATCATCAGAGAGAGAACAAAGAGGATGTCTAGCATCACCTTCTTCGAAGTACACATCTATGAAGTCTGAAATGGACTATAATTACCACTGCACAGGTGAAAAAGGCACAGCAGAGGTTTTGTTGCTTGAGAACTTAAAAAAAAGTCCTAACCACCACATATGTGGATACAGTATACCACTTCAAAGCATACCACTTTATGCTAGTGATTTTTTACCGCTGCTCCATTAGGAGCATTTCAATGTATTGCATCTCTTCCTCAACCCGTCACACACAGAGTGTTGTTCATACCTGTTCTCTGAGCTGCACCTGCTCTTTGGTCAGTTCTTCCACCTGTTGCTCCAGCTGCAGCTTCTCAGCTAGCAAACCATCCACTGATGCCTGCAGGGCTGACATGCACACACAAACACACACACACACACACACACACACACACACACACACACACACACACACACACACACAAGGAATTCAAGATCCAATTGCATGTTCGATGAACATAAATCCAATCCATCATCTCACTAATAATCTTGGTTCATGCATGCTCTGCTGGTATGAAATATTTGAGATGTTCTCAGGAGAGCTGCAAGAACCCACATATTCTCAGCAGTCACTTCCAAGATTGAAATAAAAATACAATAAAAGTCTGCTGCCCATTCAAATGTCCAGAACATCAACCAACCAGCCATGACAGCAGTAATGATTTCTGGTGCAGAGCGAGAATGTGAACTGTTAAAAGTTACTGTGTCGTACTTTTTGCTGCTCATCTCGCATTCCATTGTGTAGGTTCAGGATCTAAACATCAATCTTATCTGTTAGTATTTTAACATGTTGCAAAAAAAAAATTAGTTTCAGCATCGTATTCTGCTCATGCACCGTGAACTGCAGCTGACCCATTCTCCTTGCCTCTCATTTCCAGCTGTGAGACCACATGTACAGCAAAAAAATCTCATGCTGTGAAGTGTCAGCTGTAAAAAAAAAAAAAACAAGTCTGGGTAATAAAAATGCTGACACATTTTTTTACTAGTATTTGTAAAAACAAATTTACTGAGGTGCTAGCCTGATGGGCTCACAATGAGAACATTTCTTTGAACGTTAAAGAAAGAACAACTGCCTGATGATAAATTTCAGACTTTTGGTGACAAAATGCTATTCTGTAACAGTCTTACTATAAAACCATGCAAAGAAAACCATATATCGGTACCAACAAAGTCCATGCTCAATAATCCAGGTATACAATCCAACAATTTTCAGTCAGGTCATCTGAACAGTTTATTTTTATTTTTTTTGCTGAAACGTTTCACCTTCCATCCAGAAGGCTTCATCAGTCAAGAAAACACACAACACAAAACTGATTCTTACTCCAAAGTGGAACAAACCAGTTATGTTGGTGCCAAGATGGTATCTTTTGAACGCCCCCTCCTCCGGTGCTCGCCCTTTTCCTCGTCGGCAGTCATGTCAAACTGGTTCAAAACCAACAAAGTCCATGCTCAGTAATCCAGGTATACATGCGTTTGATTATTTTAGTTATACTTTGAATCAGAATAAGCTTTATTATCATTGCACCGGAATACAGTGAAATTATGTTCATACAGTCGTACGAAAGATGAACAGAGTGCATGTTGCTGCTGCTGAGAAGCGTGGCCCCTATTCTTTATCAGAATACTTCTAGATAGAAAAAAAGGAAAGAACCATGAGGATAGATAATGATATTACAAAAAAAGATCTCTTCACATCTTGTCCTATCAGGACACGATTTGAGACATTAAAAAACTCTACCAGCAAGCACATTAAAAACATGATTACATACGCCTTTGACGTCAAGGTGTTGAGATTTGTCCATGAGCATTTTTCAGATCGGCCACAGTTCTGATGATGTTGTTTC